GACCAGGTCAAATCCACCCTCTCCGAAGCCCGATCCGCCAACCAACAGGACCTCCGTCTTGTCTGGGTTGTGTTTCAGTTTATTGGCCCTCATCCATTCCATTACCTTGGCCAAGCACCGGTTCAGCACAGCCACTGCCTCACCTGGATTAGTGGAAAACGAGAGGTAGAGCTGGGTATCATCAGCGTACTGATGATTCCGCAGCCCACACCTCCTGATGACCTCTCCCAGCGGTTTCATATAGATGTTAAATAGAAGAGGAGATAGAATGGAGCCCTGTGGTACTCCATGGCATAGCTGCCATGATGCAGAGACATGGTCCCCCAGCACTACCTTCTGGAATCGACCGTTGAGATAGGAGCGGAACCATTGCAAAGCAGTGCCTCCAACCCCCAATCCCACTAGCCCTATCCAGAAGGATACCATGGTCGATGGTATCGAAAGCCGCCGAGAGGTCCAGAAGAACCAACAGGGATGCACTCCCCCTGTCCTTCTCCCTGCATAGGTCATCGTACAGGGCGACCAAGGCAGATTCAGTACTGTACCCGGGTCTGAAGCCGGACTGAAAAGGATCCAGATAATCAGTTTCATCCACGAGTGCTTGGAGTTGTCCCGCTCCAAATGTTACATTTAGATAATTCAGAAAGGGGTTTACAATGAGAAATATGGTTGTAGAAAGCCATGAATACTCATTAATAATTTTACACAATTTCCTTGGGCAGTGTTTATGCCTCTTAGTGTTGAGAAGCATTTAATGGCAGAATATATTTATAAGAGGTGAATTCAGGGATCCATGCATATCCATGGAAACAGTACAACAAATTGTACAATAGCTAGGTGTTTCTTCAGAAACATAATCAGATTTGCCATTCCAATCACAACTTGCCAGCAAACCTGAATTTCATGTTTGCAGCCTTTGCACTGGGTTAGCTTAATATAAATTTAATGGAAAAAATCAAGAATGCTCTGGAATCTAGTGTAGAAATCTATCACCATACTCTTGTTTTCAGTAGTATAATGAAGATTTTGCTACTTTTCTTTACATTCTAGTTACAGCCCCTGGCTGGTAATATTCCACTTGTTCAAATATGAAAAGGAAAGACTGACAGGGCTCCTGCATATTCCATATATGTATATTTTCTATGAAATAATGAGAGCAAGGCATTCCTAGCCAGTGTTTCTCACTGTTTCTTCTTTAAAGTAATGCCTGTTTGCCCCATGTTTAATTCTTACATCACTTCTTATACTCAAGGGTTTCTTGTTTCAGAACCATGAACAAGGTATATTGAATTTGTACCTATCCATCCACAGACATTCCCTTCTTTCTCTGATCCTAATCCAGCTTTCCTTACGATTATCCTTCTCATCCACACAGTGAAAGGTTTTGCAGTGATCTATAAAGCACAGACTGAGGTTTACCTGAATTTCTTTAGTGCACCTCTTCTTTTTCAGAATCCTGTTTGGACATCCAAACCCACTAAGGCATACCCACTTCTTTCAAGATCATCCACAGCTTCTCATGTTCCACGCCTTTAAAAGTTTTGCTGTAGTCTATGAGTATAAAGCATAGACTGTTCTTTTTCTGACATTCTTTGGTGCACTCCAGTAACCAAAAACTATTTACAATTTCTTGCTTTCTTTTCAGAATCCAGATTGGATGTCCAGCATTTCTCACTTCATATAGGGTAGCGTTTTTTGTTGCAACACTTTGAGCATTACTTTGCTGTGTGGGAGATTAATACAATGGCCCTGTGGTTGCTGCACTCTTTTGCATCTCCCTTCTTGGGGACTGGAATATATATTGAACGTTTCCAGTCTGTGGGCCATTGTTTTGTTTTCCATATTTGTTGATATATTTTAATTATTATTTGAACTGATTCATTTTCTGCAACTTGGAATATTTCTGTTGGTATCCTACCTACTCCAGGTGCTTTATTCTTTGCAAGTGTTTTCAGAGTGCTTCTAAAGTGTTTCTCTTCACTGTCTAATATTGTAGTCTCTTCTTCATAGAATTCCACTTCTAAGAAGTCTGTCGTCTTTTCTTCTATATAGCTTTTCTGCATTTTTTCCACCTTTTTGTTTTTTCCCTGGCCAGATAGTATGTGCCCTTGTTTGTCTTTTAACATCCATAATCTAGGTTTAAGTTTCCTTTTGATTTCTTGGATCTTCTGGAAGAAGGTATTTTGTTTTCCCTCTTTTGTTACTCTGTTCTATTTCTTTGTACTAATCAAAGTAATAGTCTTTTTTCATTGGAAAGTTTTTTCTGTCACCCATACAGGCTTTTTCTTTGTTACTGCATGGATTGGCATTTGGCATTCTTCCCTAATAATGTCTCTAGTCCCCCCCCCCCCCATTCTTCTGGCTCACAGTCAGTTAAGTTGAGTAATGCAATTCTGTTCTCTATATGAACTTAAAACTTTTCAGGAATGTTACTTATATTTTTTCACCATGTTTCTGTTGGTGATGTTTTTTGCTTGACTCTGATTTTTGAAAGTAAGAGCTAGCCTTGTTTTTGCAGCAAGAATACTCCACCTACTTCCAATTATGTAATTTATTTGATTTCTGCATTTGCCATCTAGAAGTTCAAGTATACAATCATCTGAGCAGTTGCTTGAAATATGTGTTTGCAATGAGCAGGTTGTTGGTTTTACACAATTCTTGCTTCATTCTTACCCTGGGCCATATTTTTCTGCATCATTTGATTCTGTTTTTTTCCCCTACTTTTTCATTCTAGTCACCTAGGATCAGCAGCATGTCTTGTTTTATTATCAATACATACAATTAGCATGTCTTGTATTATCAATTTTCTCTTGAACAACTGCATACAAGTTTTTAATTTCTTCTTCAGCATCTGTTGTTGGAGCATAGAATTGAATGATGGTTATGTTGATAGGTTTCCCACTAATTCAGACTGATATTATCCAGCTGGATTTTGCATTATAGCCTCTTACTGCCTGTGCTATATCTTGCCTTAGTATTAGAAATACTCCATTTCTTCTGAGTTTGTCATTTCCAGATTAAAACACTTTGTGTTTGTCTGATGGGAAATGTTCCATTCCAGTCCATTCTAGTTTGCTCACTGCATATACTGAAATATTCATTATTCCCATTTCTTGCTTTACAATTTCCTGTTTGCTTTGATTCATACTTCTCATGTTCCATGTCCCAATTATGTGTGTTGCACAGCTCTGAATCCTCCTTTTACCTGGTGCACTAGACTTCTTTCGGTTTTGACCAAAAAGCATCATTAGCACCAGAGCTCCTTGTACTTGTCCCTTGCCCTTTCTCAGTAGCTCATAAAGTTCCTTCCAACCTGGAGGTCTCATCTGTTGGCACTATTTCTTGTTTCATTTTGGATTGTTTCATCATAGGGTTTCTGAGGTAAGAAAATTCAGAAGTGAATCACCATGTCCTTCTTCTGTGCAGTAGTAAACAGAGTTAGCTTGAACTTCACTGTCATTGTCTGCAGAAGAGTATCTACCGGTATCCCCTTCAACTACCACTGCTGCCCAGTAGCTGCCCTTCAAGAGTTTTCCACCCTCATCACCATTAATTATCTCCATTTTTCTCTCTGATGTGACTGTTACTCCTGAAGAGGGTGGATGCATCTAAGTTTGGTGTCTCAGCCTTGACCATTCCACCTTAGGTGACCCTGCTAGGAGACCAGCCCAGTGAGACTATCTGGCCTCCTGATGGCATTGCTTTCAGCTTCTTTTACACTCACAAACCCCCTCACCATATTAAGGTGTGCATCCAAGAGGTGTGTGTGTAACTGATACCTTAGATATGCTAGTGCATGCCTGTCCAGAAGCTTCTTCCCTTTGTTGTCTCTCCTCTTAACCCATTCAGCCCCTTTGCTTCCACTGTCATGTGACTTTGGCAAACTGCCCACCTGACCCCCCACCCTCCTCCAACTGTATAGGAGATTAATAACCTTGCTACAACATTGCAAAAGCCTTTTTCAGTGCTTCCAACCCCTTGCAGGAAAAAGGTTTTAGCGGCAGGAGAAAAACATCCCCTCCTGCCAAAGCCATCACGAAACGGGAAAACAAGATACCCCAGTTCAAAGCAGCTGCGTCTGGTTGGCTCCGGAAATTAAGGACAGCGGCTACAACGACCCTATTATTATGCCACCTGACCTCCCAATTAGACCAGTGTAGGGAGGCTCAAATCCAAAACTCAGTTTACAATCATAGGATTTAAATAGGATATATACTCCAAAGCAGATCCCAATGTTTCCAATGAGTTTAGTGTGCAATCCTATACATACAAAGTCTTACAGTTCCCAGTATGCTGAGTTGTAGGGCTTTTCCAGTCTCAATATGCATAGGATTGCGCCCAATCCAATGTATATAGGATCGCAGCCTAAGCAGCTCATGTTTGGCCAGCCACAATCTCTCAGCCTAACCTAATTTACAGAGAGGCTGCACAGGGAGAGGCGGGACAACGATGCGTAACGACTTGCATTCCTTGGAAGCGGGGATATCAGTGGAAATTAATAAAATAATCTCTATGTTTTCTCACTCCCCACTCAACCTCAACTCCCCATTGAGGGCAATGCTATACCGACTTAAAGACCGGACTGGGGTTTACGCAGATTCAAGCAAGCTTTCCGTTTGCCAATCGAACACGCAAGAAGCAATATTCAAAAAAAAAAATTGGCACAGAGAGAGAAATAATTAGTTTGCCCATAATACAAGAAAACATCGGAGCTAAAGAGATTTAGATCTTAAAGGAGTCTCGCTATTAGCAGCATTCTACCCCTATCTATCTCTATAATCTCAAGGATCGAATCGAAACCGGAATAGAAGAATACGTGGAGTACTATTGCTCTTCCTTATCTCTATGGAAGAAATAGGACGAGTGAGAAGTACAACACAGAAGAAAGCAAATCATTGCCCAATCGCGTGGGGGGAGGCGTGGCCAAACTGGGAGCGGTGAAGTCATAGGCGCTGGGGAAAAGAGGCGTAGCTTCCTGGGCTGGCGCGCGACCGTTCAAAATGGAAACCGAGGGAGGGGGAACGGCTTTCAGGCCGGTTTCTCCCCGCCAGCTCGGTACGGGACCAGCTGATTCGTCCGGGTGTGGCCCGACCGACGATAGCTCGCCGGTTCCTTTCGTGGAAGTGGAGGCGGTAGCTACTGAATGGATCCTGGATTTCGCCTGCCGCTGCCTGTGCCACCATTTTTGCGAGGGCAACCGGCGAGCTTTCGAGAGGAGCCGGGACTTGGCGCTGGGTGAGAAAGCCTCGCTACTCGCGATGCCTGGCGGGAGCTGGGGTGGGGGCGAGGTCGGTGGTTGCCGGATCCAGCTCTTTTTCGATGGGGATGGCCCTTTATTAATTGTTACAGTTGTTTGCCGTCTTAAAAAAACATACAGACAGACTCGGGAACCCAAGGCGGTTTACGTGGTCCTCCCCTTTTCCGTGTTATCCTCCGCTCAGCCTTATAAGGTAAATCAGGTTGCCAGTCAGTGACTGGCTCCAGTCATCCTGTGAGTTTCAAGGCTTGAAGTGCCTGATCCTGCCTAATCTTGGAAGCTAAGCAAGGTTCGGCCTGGTTGAAATCAAGGTAAGCAACATCAATGCTGTGAACCGCCCAGTTTCGATTACAGGCTGTTTAGAAATGCAATGTAATAATAATGGCCAAGTGGGACTAGAACTTGGTTCTTCCAAGTCCCGTTCCTTACTAGGACAGCCCCCTGGCTGTCACCTGTTTTTCTCTGCCCTAACTACCACAGGCATGCGAGAAGCACAGGAGCCTTGTCTGCACAGTTCTGTAATGGTCTGTATTGCAAGGCTTTCCCCAGAAGCCACTGTAAAGGCTGAGTAGAGAAAATAAAAATGTAGAAACTATAAGTTTATCAGAGACAAAGTCTGCATGACTGCACACCCCTTTCTTTTCCGTCATTCTTCTTTGTAGTGTCCTTGTGTCCTTTTAACAGCTGGAGAGTGAAAAGTTCAACAGGTACAACTTATTGTTCCATGGAGATTCAGTAGTGGTGGTGCTGGTGCCTGCCTTACAGTTTTTTGTTTATTTGAAAAATGTATGTGCTATACTTCAGTAGAAAAGATTTGCAGAGATAAAGGCTAAAGCAATAAAAAGCCAGTGTGGAGTAGTGGTGAAGAGAGCAGACTGGGACTCAGGCAATCTGGTTTCTAAGCCCCACTCAGCCAAGGTGTTCATTGGGTGAGTTTGGGTCAATCACTCTCAGCCCAACCTGCCTCAGCCTTCACAGGGTTGTTGCTGTAAGTGCAAGATAGAAAGGAGGAAGATAATTATGTAGAACAGTGGCTTTCAACCTTTCCACAGCTGGGGACCAGCGAAAACAGGAAAACCACCTTGCGGACCACTGAGGCAGAAACAAAAATCACCATACACATAATACACTATTCTGTGTATTATTTTCCAATCACAGTGCCAAAAAAATAAATTCTCCAGAACAACCAGAGCAACAAAAAATGCCAACAAAATACCAAAATACCAAAATCAGTGTGGCATGGTTCCCAGCCAGCTCCCACATCTGTGAATGGGATGGAAACTGAGGAGGAGGTGGTAGAGCACCGCCAGCCCCCATGCCAGTCAGCAGTGAATAGGATGTGTGGGGGGGGGGGGGCATGGACGAGCAGGAAGTCACCTGCAGACTGGTGCTGGTCCATGGAATGGTGGTTGAAAACCACTGATGTAGGCCACCTTGAGTTTCTTGAAAGGAAAAAGGTGGTATTTAAAATAAGTTTAATACTGCAGCAGAAGGTTGAGGTTCAATACTCCTGTCAGTTTTATTTTTTTTGTTTCAAAATTTGAAAGTCCAGTAGCCCAGCCAAAAGAAAGAGGCAACCTTTTCTTATTTTCTCAACAATTTGAGTTGTGTAAGCTTTTCCAGTGAGGAAACAAGGCTGTACGAATTGCACTATATTGTTAATCAGGAGTATTGAATCTCAGGTGGGTGGGTTGGAGCCACCCCCCACATGGAGACACACTCTGGCCCTCTGAACTTCATCAAATTTCCATGTTTCCTTCTGGCCTCATACTTTCTTACCCAATCAGCAATGTTATGGTTTACAGGCCTTTGTAGTTTCCTCTTCAGGAGGAAGCTTGCAGGTTTAGACAGAAAAAGTTCCCAGCATACTGCTGAGGAATGCTGGGAGCTATGGGGCTTTTGTCTGTCTAAACCTGAATAGGATTGTGTCATAAAATATTGAAATGTGTCTCCTAAAGCTTAGTTACTGGCAGTTAAGAACATTATTATTACTACAGTACATTTATAGCCTATCCCTTTTCCTCCACTGAGGATTCAAAGGTGTATTGTATAGTTCTCCATTCCAAATTTATCTTCACAGCAATAGCCCTGTGATGTAGATTAGGCTGCTAGCGATTAGCCTGAAGTTACCCAGTGTGCTTCAGATCCCCAGTCCAATACTCAAACCACAATGCCATTAAGTTAAAATATCCTACTATTTTGTCCCTGCACCTTTTTGCCTTTGGACCCATCCACCCTTGGAATGCAGCTCTGGAATCTAAATTTGGCTCTTGGGCTGATAGAAGGCAAGCACCCCTATTCTAAATATGGTCACTAATATATCAACAACTAGGCAAAAATAGTTAAACTAATGAATGGTTGAACTTCTTCAGCCTGGAAGAGCTAACTGGCTTAGAGAATGAGTTTTAGGTTCCAATGAATTTCTTGTAGCTGAAGCCATTACTGTTTTACAGTTCATTCCTGTCTGTTGAGCTTGAGGTGCTATTCAGGAATTATCCCATTTTATTTTCATAAGAGTATGAAAGGTTGGGCTGGTGGATAGACCTGTCTAAAGTGAGCCAGGAAGCACTGAGCTAAGGGAAGACCTGAAGCAGAATATTCTTGGCCAAAGTCCAACCCATTATGCCACACTGTTTCTATTCTATCTTCTCTGCTTTAAAATTGGGATACTATAGGGGGATGTTTTGTGTTAACAATTCTTAACCCTATAGTTGCTTTTGGTCTATTCTGTTATCACTACTTCTTGGTGGTCAAAACAATTCCTTTAGATAATGCTGTGCAGCCTAAGCATCTCATGTTTTGTTTCTTAGGATGTTTCTACTACATTGTAAGGGGTGCCTCCTGTCCATTTTGTCATTATTCAGGTCAATATAGAGCTCTAAATTTATGACACAGGATTGGTGAGCAGTTATATTATGTCTGCTACTGTGCATTGCATTCATGGTTTCTGGAACAAAGAAAGAATGAGATGACATTTAAAATAACTCATTCTGACTATTGCAATGGGGAAAGTTGGGTATTCCTATGCTCTGTGTTCATCCTGGAATTCAACTGTGCTCTTGAGGTTAACCTGAAAAAAACTCCTTAACTCTGGCTCCCTCTGTAGTCTAGAATAACTATTAAATAAACTGTGGCTTAAAGGGGAATACCTATAACTCTGATTTTTTTGGCAGCTCAACTAGTTATCTTCATTTTTAGTAAATGTGTACCAATGCAAGTTACTAAAGTTACATTTCTCCAGAATGCTCTGGCTCAAAATACATTTCTTTGGAAATGAGTTCCTTTTAGTTCAACATAAAGTAGCTGTTCTTAAAGTTACAAGCAAAATTGCTGATACTGATATCCACAGAGTGGCACTGCAGGAACAAAATTTACTCATGTCTGCTTTTTTCCAGCCATTATTAAGGGGTCACAGGGAGTAGAACCTCATCTAGTGAAAACAGTATGCCTTTGTCAGCTGTTGGCATGTGTTGCAGAAGGAAAATCGCTTGGTAAAACATTCTGTTCATTTTTTTCAACTTCCATTGTAATGCCTGCATTGTATATGGATTAATCAGGTTGCTGTTATTTAATGTGATATCAAAGCACCTAGTGTTTCATTGCATGGTGTAACAAAGCAACAAAAAGTTCCTCCCTGTCCGGATAGGCTTATAGTCTAAACTTTGGAAGAAGTTTAGATAATGGGGGACAAATATGAAAGGCTTACAAACATTCTCTCATCTTAATAATTATTTGTACACTATGCACAGGGAAGGTACAAAGCAATGAAAGATCTTAGCTGCTATTGGCCATGCTCTATGGATTTTATAAAGTACCTCTCTCCCACTGTTGTAGAATCTGTCTATGTGCACAAGCATCCTCACATACCTTCCTGGGAGTCAAGTTGCTTCAGTAAGGCCAACAGCTTCATTTTCACAGCAAAAGCAGCCCTTATGTACAGGATGATTGGAGAAGGCAACTTCAAGGCAATTATCTCTGGTGCTGTTTCTATACAGCTGAAGACTATAAGGCTTCAAGAAACTACCCTGGCTTTTGCATGGAAAAGTTCACTATCTGTAGACCCTTAGCCTTCTTCCTGCAACAGGATGGAGTAACTCTCCATCCTCATTTCTACTGATTAAGGGAGTCCAAAGCAGCAGCAATCACCATGTCAATATTATCACACAGTGGCTACATCACTGTTGTCTCTTAAAGCAGAGGTAGATGACTTGTGACCCTCAGGAAGTCACAAGTTCCCTATCCCTGCCTTAAGGCAAAGAAGCATCACACTGATCAAAACATAGTGACAGTAATTATTCTATCTTTCAGGATAGATATACATGCATTTTCACATCTTCCATCTCCTACTTTTGCATGGTTAATAGAATGAAACCTAAATATAAAAAAGCTGATTATTCAAGTTCTGCCCTCTTCAAAACTGTTGGGCAGGGACCACACAAGTAGATCACTGCCTATGGAGCTTACACATCATACTTTTACTGGGTGCTTACATGCCCTGGTATCCTTGCCACTAGCCTACTTATACACAAGCAGCAAAGTTGCTGTCTGATGGAACTTATTTAATTCCATTTCTTTGCTGCCCCATAACTCAAAGGTTCTCTGGGCAGCTTGCTGTTATGCCAAGACCAAAACATCCAATATGCTCTTCTGGCAACTATTAAAGCACAAGCTCTGTACCCAGGAAAGAGTAATCATTTGGTACTGTCTAATGTATTGGCTCTATGAGAAGAATGGTGAGGATGTTACTAGTAAGTGCAAAGAGAGACTGTTGCCATCCCTGCTCTGGACCTTTCAGCAAGTAGTAGATGAAGAAGCAAGTAACTGTCTAAGTAACTGGTTGCCAAGCTTGTGCTAGGTTTGAAAAGAGTAAATGAGCTTGACACAGTAAGATCAGAGTAGTTAGTACTCTGCCATACAAAGATATGGGCAGTTCATTTTCACAGTGTAGCCCATGTAATTCATATTTTAAGGCTGAGTGTCTTCAGTAACAGTGTTGCTGTCGAGCAGCAATCTTCCATATTTAACATTTTCCTATAAGGAGCCAAGAACCTGCTTGGAAAGGCTACACAAACAGAACTCATATTCTGATCATGGCAGAAAAGCATGTGATTGTCATGGCAAAACATGCATTCTGTATCATATTATTTTCTTATGGCAGGAATTGTGTGCAAGTTATCTGTAAATGTATATATGATTTACAAAATTGAAGGGGGTCTGTATTTGAGTTGGTCTGTATTTGAGTTCAGAAAATAATGTCGTTGATGTTTATAGCCTCCATCTGACAAGCTTTCTCTGATCAAAAACAGAATAGATGCCAACCCAGTTGGTAACTTGTATGTATATGTGTGTGTATATGGATGCTTGAGTATAAAATGTTATACTGTTATTGTTAACCCTTAATTTATTTTCTCTAAAGATTCTCATTATTTTGAGGGTGACCAAAGAACTTCACCACTGGAAAATGCTCTGTTGGTTTGGACTTCATTTCTAAAATCACAAAGCAAACAAGATAAGCTGCATGAAGACATCAAGAAGTTAATTCAGATTCAGGTATGTTTGTTCATCAACATGGCTATTTGAATGTGCCATCAGTTTCTGCAGAGATAATCACTGGCAAATCAAAGCAATAATTCCTTGCAGTAGAAAAGAACATTAACAAAAATTGGTCTTGCCATTAAACTGCACAGATAGATTTGCTTCTGTATTTATTACAAAAAATGATTTTTCTGAAGTAGCATAATCTATCAGAGCTTATTGACTGAAAGACATTATTTGGAATTCTTTTTTTGTAGGCTGTAGCTGTATACATGGAGAAAGGATGTTTTAATGATGTTACAGATGTCCTAGAAAGAGTGTTTGCAGATTCACTATCAAATGAGGTAATACTGAATTTTGTTCAGTATTTGTGGGTTTAGTACAAGACTTAAACCACCTTCACAGATCAAACTGAATCAAGCAACCAAATGAACAGTATGTGGATTTACCAAGCTGGTTATTTAGCTGTCTAGGATTTGCACCTCTATCTTTGAGACTTGCATTTAGGAGATACTGAAAGTGCTAGTGCTAATGTTCTGGTAACTGCTAATATACCCTTGTTGATTTTTACTCTATCCAGACACTGAAGGCTTATCCAGGCAATAATAATCACCAGGGCTTTCTCCTTAATATAGTTAGGATTAAATTAGACCAAGTCTTTATAACATAAAACCTGTGGTCTGATTTCATGTCTCCTTGTGTATTGTATCCCTCTGGATGCCATGTACTCCATGGTATACAGCCTTATCAAAAGTGGGAGGCTCTTTTAAGAGTCATTTGAGGGGACTGCATCTCATTTTCCAGTCTCTTCTAGCCACCCATCAATGCTGTATAGCTACCTGGTTCCAAGAAGCCTTTACTGGTATGAATTCCTGGAATAGTGAAAGTCTTATGTGCTTTACTGGGTTTTGTACCTTTGGGAGGAAATGAAAGAGAAGGTTCAGAAACAGCAAAAGAATGAAGGGGGCTGCTGACAAGGGATTGAGAAGATAACGATGGAGTGGAAAAAAGGAGAAGAATGGAATATATGGAGGTGATCACTTGGCAGGGATTGCAGAGAGAAAAGGAACAATAGGCTATCTTAAAGAGAACACTGAGTTAAAACTAAATTATTACAGTGACAAGGTCCTTAGGAGTGAGTTGAACTATAGACTGTTATGCTATTTTAAGTGGTATTAGTGTTACTGGGATTTGTGTTCTGCCCAACTGGCAAATGCCTGTATTAAGAGGTTTCTAAAAATGACATTGGTAGGATGCAAAGAATAAACTATAACACTGACTGGATATTTTGAATTTTCTGGGTTTAGGCTTTGCAAATGAAGCTGACTACAATAATAAAGCAAAAAGATCCATATCATCCATTCCTCCAATATTTCAGTTTCAATCTCTTGACTAAGAAGATCAAAACTTTCATTGGGATTTTCTTGAATGAGGAATATAATAATTTGCTAATGAAGGTATGTTGAAGCCAAGGAAAAATAACCTCTACATGAATATTTGATTTGTACAAGATCGAGCAAATGTATAAAATTGATCTATTAATTTGAAGGCAAAGCAAAATACTCACAGCCTAACTAGAAAAGTTCCAATTAGTGTATAGTTGTCATTTAAGTTGTTTGAAGTTTATTTCTAAGACCAATGTGTCTCTGTTACGCTGTTGCTAATTTAGGATTAAATTACTTGAAGGACCGCCTGAAGCTGCATGATCTTGCATGGACCTTAAGATCAGCCACAAAGGCCCTCCTTGCAGTCTTGAAAATATGCAGGTTGTCAAGGGAAACCAAACCCATAAGTAATCTTTACTCATAGAAGGAGGTGGCCAGTAGAACATTCCCCCTTTTTGTTTAAATCATTTTTATCCCATCTAAATCTGAGATCTCTAGATGGCTCTAGCAAACCATAACAGCACATTAAAACATAAAAATATACAGTAAAACAATTATGTATTGTATGATAAAAGCTATTCAGCCATTAAATACGGAGTCAATTGAAAGGTTTTGACCTGGTGCTGAAATGGGGATCAGGTTCCATACGCCTTTTAGCAAGAATCTCTAGTTTTTTGTGGAGAACACTATAAAAGCTAGGGCTTCCTTTAAAACTAATTTTTAAGAGAGCTAATCAGTTTTTTTTGTTTTGTTTTGGTTTTTTTGGACAGGGGAATATACATATCCCTGTAATAAAACCCTGGGTAGTCCTGTTAAAACATCTGTTTTAAAGGGAAGTCTGAGTTTTGATATATAGCTGTCAAAAGACAACACTCTTGTACGTGGGCTGGCTTGCACTTTTCTGTTTTCTGACCTAGACACTCAGGTCTACAGCAAAGGGGATGATTTCCAAAAAGAGGAAGAAAGGATTCATGATTATGGATGGGAAAGGAGACAAGGCCACTTTCAAGACTAGGGGACTGAAGGAGAAAAGGCCCATGGGAGCCATGGCAAGCCCAATCATTTGTCAGGCACAGTGGGTTGTTCAGTGAACAACCAACTCACTGTCACAGGACATGTGACCCCATCCATTATTTAATGGTTTCATCTGCATTGTTAGTCTCAGGAATGGTTTTATGCTAGAGTTTCTAGTTTTAAATTGTAGATACTGGTTTTACAATCTATGCCAATTTTGCTTTTGGAAGACTTGTCTTGATAATGCTCTTTAAATAAAATAAATCTTGCTGTTTTGCAGGAAGCTACAAAAAAGGCAGAACTTAAAAGTTTAGGAAAAATCCCATTACATGTGCAAAATCACAGTAACACTGCAACAAATAAAGAAAATCACCTGGAAATCACACAGAGGTTGGTACCATGTCAATCTAAATAAGCATCCCATTTCAGTTACATTTCATGTTTTAAAATGCACACATGACCACACACACATATACACAGTTCTGCTCAGATTGAGAGGAACTGTTCCTTATCCAGTAATTCAGTAATTCAATAGGTACCTCTCCACATGGCAAATGAGAGATTTGCTGCATGTGTATGTTAGGCATGCCCGTCCTATGTGATTCACGAGGTTACACAGAAAAATAGCTGGCAGTGGCACTACAACAATTTTTGAGACCCTGTCCCAGGATGGGGTTGTAGTTTACAAGAGCGCACCCTACAGCCTATGAATACTGAAGAGCCTTCAGTTGGGCCCAGTGGAATAGCTGAATATTTGGAAGTGCTTTTAAACAATAAGGAGCTGTAAAATCCCAATCCCTGTCTGCCTAGAGCACAAATTAAGTAATTAGTAGTAAACCAATTTATTTTCTACCTCAAGGCTCACTAGCCAGTTATTTATTTGTTCGTTTGTTTGCTTTATATTGTGATTTATATCCTGCCTTTTTCCTACAAAGGTATCAAGGCAGCTTACATCATCTCTCCTCCTCCATCTCATCCCCACAACAACAACCCTGTGAGGTAGGTTGGGCTGAGAGTCTGTGACTGGCCCAGTTGGCTCCATGGCTGAGCAGGGACTAGAACCCAGATCGTCTGAGTCCCAGTCCCATGCTCTTAACCACTACACCACACTGGCTCTAAAGTTATGCCATACCTTTATCCTTAATTCCCAACCCCATATTTTCAACACTAAACTTAATCTTCTGAATGAGATTTCTCATTTTGTGATAGTCTTTTGGCTATGGGTGGTATAAAAATAAAATAAATATGATTTGTTATTGGCATGGAATAGGAAACAGGATTTTTACCTTCATTAGGTATCATAATCACTTTGTGGAAATATGAATGTCCCCCTGTATTATAATGTGTTGAATTCAGTTCAAATACCATCTTAGGGAAGTTAGCATAAGCGAAGAATGTTCTATGGTGAATGCACTAAATGCAGGCTTAACCAAATTTGATGAAATACCATAATTTATATCAAACAAAATATTTGTTGGACATGCATTTTATCACTGCCTAGCCTTAGTCAATACATGTTCTTGGTCTGCGTTAGTGGGCTGTGGCCAACATTATTTTGATACCTACCAGTAGTCAGAGTTCTCTGGACAGTTTACAATTATTAAAACCATAAAATACAAGATGGTAAAATACAATATAATTATTTAAAAATTTACTACAGTAGTATAAAATTAACCAAATAGAACCTAACCACAGTACAAAAATTCAAAATAAAATACCAGATTGCAAACAGAAACTGAAAAACTAAATTTGTTGGGAATATAAAAGGTCTTCACCCAGCGATCAGCAGAACACAGTGCAGGTGCCCAGTGAGCCTTTCTGGAAAGCTCATTCCACAGTCAGGTTGCTAGAACAGAAAAGGCTTTCTTGTTGGCCACACATATAATTTCCTTAGGTGGGAGCTCTAGGAAAAGGACCAGTGTTGTTGATCTCAAAATCCAGGCAGGTTTATCCAGAAGGAGACATTATTTCAAGTAACCTGGTCCCAAGCGGTTTGGGGTTTAAAATGTTAATTCCAGTACTTTAGATTAGGTTCAGAAATGGAATGGCAGTACCAGCATAATATACTCGGGTCCTATTTTGGAACAGTTGAAATTTCCAGCCCATTTTCAAAGGAAGCCTAACATAGAATGTATTGCAGTAAACCAAATGAGATGTTATCAGGACATAGATAACTAGCTAGGCTATTTCTGTCCAGATAAGCCTAAGCTGATAAAAGATGTTCCTTGCCAAGGCCACCTGTGTTTCCAGTGACAATGTTGAATCTAAGAGCATAGTCAAACTACAAACCTGATCCTTTAGGGGGAGTCCAGCCCCCTGCAGCACAGTCTGGACATCACTTTAGCTGGGCAGATAAACCACCTCTGTCTTGTCTGGATTGAGTCTCAGTGTATTGACCCTAACCCAGTCCATTAACTTACCCAGGTACTGGACCAGAATGTCCACCACTTCAGCTGGGTTTGAAGGTCACCTGCATATTGGTGATAACTCAGTCTGTATCTCTGGATAACCACCTCCAGCAGTTTCATATAGAAATAAAACAGCATGACATAACTGTCAAAAGACAGAGCAATAAGCTCAAAGCAGCACCTCTGGGATTCTTTTATTCAAGTAGGAGCAGAAACACTGCAGTGTAGTCCCTCCAATTCCCAGTCCAAATAGCCTAACCAGAAGGAGACCATGGTCAATTCAAAAGCCATTGAAAGGCCCAAGAGAAAAAAACAAGGCTGTATTCCTCTACCTCTCTCCTGACAACGACGATGCCTCAGGGGACCCAGGGCAGTTTCCATTCCAAAACCAAGCCTGAAGCCCAGTTGAAATGGATCTAGATGAACTGTTTCATTCAGAACTGCCTGCAGTTGACCAGTAACTACCCAATCAAGCTCCTTGCTGAGGAAGGGGATATTAGAAATGGCCTTACAGTGGCTAACATCTTCTGAGTCTGAGTTAGGGCTTCTGGCCTGCATTATTCTCTCAAGGGAGAAATTGATCTCTTGGAACCAGCTGGACACTCTCTCCCTGTTAGACGGGATAACTAAATGACACAAGTGTCATAGCTGCAGAACAAAGCAATGTAACCTCCACAAGAGAAGCAATTAGTAGCAAGGTACAGTGGAATTGGCCATTAGGGAAAGCAGACTAGAATAAATATCATCATTTGAAATACCTGTATCTTTAATTCCCTTACAGATTACATATGCAGGCTTGTTCCTTTATTGAGCGGTCATTTTTGACAGAACAGATTTTCCCAAGATCAAAAAATAGAAAAGAAACTGTACTTCAAAGTAAGTGTTCACTCCAGCTAGTGTTAATGAGCTTACTTTTGATTCTGATATGCTTGAACACATGAAACTTCTTAAATATTGTGTGTGCATAACTGGATTGCAGCCTTAGAATATACTTAAAATTGTACATAGATTTCAAGTGCATATCATTTTTAGATAGTATACTAATATAACTAAGTCAGTTAGTATTCTTGCCACTCTTATTTCTTATCAGAATGCAAGTTTGTATCATTCTATAGAAGCAATGCAAATGTACAAAGAATTACAATTGTGGAAGTAACAGCTATTAAAACAATGAAAATACCTGCTTTTTGTTCCAGGTAAAGTAGACAGAGGAGCTGGCAAAAAAAAAAAAAAAAATCTTTCTTTTCTGAGCCATATGGATAGAAGTAAAAACAGAAGATAAGGCCCAATTGTTCATTGTACAGCAGTTATGATGACTATATGTGGATTTAACTTGGGAAAAATTTCCATCTGTATCTTAAATCTGAGAAGGACACCTCTTTAAGGTGTCCCTTAAAGGCATTCTATGAAGAAGTTTAAACTGCGCTATTCACATGCCCAGATGTTGTTGTTTAAATGTTCACCTGTTAATGAAATCTGCTTTAGCTTGGTCTACGTTAATCCAGAGTATCAAGCTATTGATCATAGAGTGAATATAAAGGTTCGAAGTACTTTACTGGTTTGTTTGCTCAAACTAGGTAAGAAAACTTTGCAGAATATTGAAAATGATCAACCAAGTGATGAATTTCGGTCTGCTGGCCATAAGAAACAGGTATGAATGTAAAGTTTCCAAAACAATGTTATAATTAAAAAAGCAATGTTAGAAAAAACTGCTAAATAGCCAGCATTGTCTCTAATTATGAAAACTTCCCTGCATGAAGTTTGTTAATAATGTTACCTGCCATGGAGGATGGCTTTCTTTTAGTTTTACATGAATTTACCATACTAGGTTAATTCTGCCAAGGACATAGAAATCTTATACTGAGCCAGAGCCATTGCCCCATCTAGCCTACTATTATCACAGACTGGCTGCGGCTGTCCAAGATTTCAGGCAGGAGTTTTTCTGGCCCCAAACCTGGGACCTTCAGCATGCAAGGCTGGTGTTCAACCACTGTGCTACAACCTGCCCCAGGATTTGCAGGCATGCAGATTGTAACATTGCAAGGCAAAGATATTCTACCTGCCTTTTTCATTCTCAACATGGTCCTCTACTCAGAGCACGCAAAGGAGTTGCCTGGCCTGAAATAGTAGGAAAATAAAGAGGTACTACCACATATGTATTTAGTTAAGTTACAAATATTTATATTTGGCTCAATAACAAAATTATCTGGGTGGTTTATAATAGAATTAAACATATGCAAGTAAATTGAAACATAACTGAAAAGAAGCAGCAGCAGAATAAAACAAAAGCAAAACCAGTGACAGAATAAAAACAGTACAAAACATTTGAGGAGCAGCATTATTAAGACTGGAAGCACCGGGAAAATAACATTTTCATCTTGGACCAATAAGATGGCAACATTGCCACATGAGCCTGTCTGAGGAGGACAATTCTCAGCCAGGGTATAACTAAAAACAGTCCTTTCTTTAGCTGCCTCAGTTCCTTTAGCGCTTGTGCTGAAATTGCTTAGCAAAAGGAAGGCAAGGAGCTTTTGCCCTTACACAGTTCCCTCCTGTGCTGAGAGTCTGGCAATGACATCAAAGCTTGGCAGGAAAGATTCTTGGCTCAAGAGACTTGGGAAGCTGGCAGTCTGTGACTTACATCTGCCTTCTGTCTGAACAAATCCAAGTTATTCCTAAAAGAAGCAGGCACCTGGCCTTTTTATTTATCCACAATCTTTTTTTTAATGAAATCTGAGGACCGAAAACAGCTCAAGTATTCCAAACAAGCCAAATTTGCTCATCTCAGTGGTGATGGCTGTTTATAGAAGGGTCTACATGGAAGAATAGGATGAATATTCAAAACACAGTTGACTTTTAGGACTCTTAATTTTTAAGTGTAGTCATTGTATTTCTTCTATATGCAAAAAATATTCTAGCAGAGGTTCATATTTGTACTCTGCTCCCCATCGAACTACTCTTTTCAGTTAAATTGCATATGTGGGTTTTCTATTCCCATTTTACAATCTGTGGTTGAAAATATAATTCAGAAAGTCATGTAAGAGTTGTCAATTGAATGGCATATCCTACTTAATTGGTTGCAGGTGATACAATAAAAGGAAATTAGGAATTACTGCTTTCAATTGCTATGGTTTAGATTGTTGTGGTTTATAATCTGCAGAAGGCAATTCACTAGGTAATACCAACTGCCCCCTAGAACTAATGATGTTGCACTAGCCCCAACCAGTACTTGGAGTACATAAGTATCATGTGCTAGGGTAATGGGGAAAATAAGCAATTTGTTACTGGATTTTATTATTGCTGCTGCTGCTTCTACTGCTGCAACTACAACATTGCATTTATATCCTAGTACCAAAATATAGCAGCAAATAACAGTTTTTTTCCCACTACCCGGATAAGCTTTTTCCCACTACCCTAGTAAGCTTTAGTCACATTGCACAAGAGTTGGTATATGTTACCATCACATCATGAATACTGCTGCTGGGTCATAGTTAGATACTACACCGTAAGCATATGAATGCTTTTCTACAATTGTAATTTCTAGAGAACCTAAATTTAAATTACAAAATGTAATTTCTAGAGAAGGCCTCCATCAAAATAGTTCCAAAGATTTCTGAGAAAATATGGGATTTCTTGGCCTTGTCAGCAGTGAAAGAAAATTCTTCCATAGAATGCAAATATACAGATGACTTAAGTATTTGTGTCCCAAAAAGTCAAGCTGACAGAAACAAGATTTTTTAGTACTAGTTAGCTGGAGAGCAAAGCATTATTGAAGAGTGTATATATATTTGAATATTACAATCTTTTTTTCTCCACATCCCCCAAAGCGATGGAGTTGGACAGAAGACCAAAAATTGAAAAATGGTGTGCAAAAGTTTGGAATAGGCAAATGGAAAAAAATTCTTGAAAATTATGACTTCAATCAACGGACAAATGTAATGTTGAAAGACCGATGGAGAACTATGGTCAAATTAGGCAAAGTTTAAGCTTATTTTCTCAAATTCTTTACTCATTACTCAACTTTTCCTTATAATGTCTATTCTTAACTCTTACAAGATTATCACTTTTATAAGTATTGCAGAAATAAAGCAAGCATTTTGGTATAATTATGTTTAATCAAAGATTTAAGTATCTTTTCAAAAATAGTCTTGTAGCATCTTAATGTTGTACATGCATCTTAAACTTGATTCTTGAAAATCTGGAGTAGGCATAGTAAGAGGGTTTATATCTGGTTATGTCATACAGCACCAGAATGATTGGTCTTAGATTAACTTTTTATTCCTGTCTCCTGCAAACCAGTGGAAATATTGCTACAAAGCTATTTTAGGGCTGAAAATCCATGCATATTTACTTCCTAATCAAATACTTAAGAGCACCTGTTTAAGCCTCATTCTGTACCTACTTCACTGAAGGCCCTTCATGTTCTCTTATAAGACTAGGTAAGGTTAATTGTTCAGTGGAGGATGTATTATGACAATGGAGTTGTGCTTCTAGGCACAAGAAAGGATTTTATTTATCTTAAATCCTTCTTGCATGCACAAAAGGATGTTTAGTATTGCTAGTATAAACATGTGGGGTTGGATAGTACTATAGGCAAGCCAACATGAGTTACTTGTTGATTGAACAGCCAGCCATAGTGCACCTGACAGATAATCTGGCTCATCACAGCTTTTCTCCCCCTCAGTCCTCCAGCCATTATCCCAGTGTACTTTGCAGCTGAACCTGTCTGGTTTCCTCACTCAAGATTGCTAACTCTTCTTTTGCTGCTGCTTCTCATTTGTGTAGGAGCTTCTGAAAAGCACAATTGTGATTTTTTTAATTTTTGTTCTTGAAAATTTGTACAGTTACATCTTTTAAAAAACACTGTCAGTCTTTCAAAAGAGGTCCATAAATGCATGCTCATGGTTGTCTGCTAGATGTAGTCTTTCTTTCCCTGTCATGGTTACTTAAAGAGGTACATACAAGGTAATAAGTTGCACATTTTTGGTGGGGCAAGTTGCTGAATACAGGAACTATTCCACTGTCCAGAACCTGCCTCTGAACAATATTCAGTTCTAAAAGTTTGGTTGTTTACTGTTAAGGTATTTTGGTCTGATTTAAAGGTTTGCAAGTAGTTAGGACAATTGGCTGTCTTAAATGTAGGTCATTCTAATACAGCCATATGAAGTGAAGCAGGTGATTGTTCTTGGAAAGTCCTGTGTTTATCCTGCTATGTCTTACAACTTCATTGCTGATATTCTAATTGGTTGTAAAATCTGGTTGAAAAGTTTAAAATGGTTCTGTGAATGCCAGCATGGGCATGCATAGCTAGAGAGAGAGCCTGGCATCTGAGGCCTATGTGGCAAGGTGTTGCTAAGTATAAAGTGCTAAACACTTGAATGGTACCATGCAAAACACATTGCAGCACTTCCAAAAGCTGGATAATTGCAAACAATGCAAATATTTGCAGCATAGCAACTGCATCCATGTGGACAGCCAGTCTTCCATAAATGCTACAGAGTAAAGGCAAGCAGCATCCCTGCCATTGGTACATTTGAAACCTGAAGGCCTTCTAAGGAACTGATGATGAGACCTAGCCATATATCTGTATTTTATTTTTCCTCTCAGGAACTTCCACTGGCATGATCTCTTTTCTGAATACAAAGTGGAGACTTGCATTTGGGAATCATGACCCTTCTGAAATGGAAAGAGGCATGACTCTTGATCTTATCTATTTCATTGGGATGCTCAAAGAGAATAGACTATGCAAAGTTAAATCCCACTCAAATCCCATCTTACATTTTCAGAGAATCCCATTACAAGTTGGTATAATAAGTATAACTTTAATCATTGCAGGGAAGACTTGAGTGTGAAATTTGACTTATCAAATAACTTTGAGATAATGTCTAAGTATTACAAGTCCATAGCAGAGTATATGTTCAAAGTGCTATGTAAAAATGAAACTATGTACAAGAGGACATGAACATTCTTCAATTTGCTGAACTTTCTTCCATGTTCCATGGCAGAAATGATTGCCAACTGCTTGCCAATGAAGAACTTTATTCCTAAAATAAAATAGAGTTGGTATAACTTCATTGATTGCGTTATTGATAAGTAACATAACTTACTCTAGATTTAGTAAATCAATACTTTCAAAGTATCTATAGAAAAACAACTTATATTTGTTTTGTCATCTTAGAGAATTACTATCTGGCAATAAAGATCTAATTGGCTATTCTATCCATAAAAGGTCATTGTTAGTTCATAGAAAGAACCAGGACCCTGCAGAGGTGCTCTGCTAGAGCAGGAAGGGACAAAGAAACAATCTTTATTGATTCTCCCTGTATCAGTTCTCATGTTATCCCAGCCCTCTGGAATAGCTTATCAGGAGGCAGAACCATGAAGATTATCACTGCCTATCTCACCACTAGCAGAGCTGTACTAAACACTGTGAGTCCTACTCTGGATTTACACAATGTGTTGAACTAATGCAAACACCTTTGCATTACTATTGCCAGCTTTGAAGAAACTAACATGCGCAATCAATCACAGTAAATTTAAACTGCATGCAACACAATATGTGCAGCTATAGTGTGTCTAATGTGGCTACTAGGATGTCTTAATGCACTCATGGAGACAAGTCAAAAGCAGGAGAGTGATAAAAGCAGCAGTGGCTAGCTGCATTAGAGCCAAGGGAACCGCTTAAGAGATCTGCTTAAATCCTGCAGATTTAAATACTGGAGCTGGCAGGATCTAGACTCCCCATGCATTTCAGTAGGGAAAAGCAGATCATTCCCCTTCCTTGCTGTTATTTTTCCACTAACTTAAAGACAATGAACATACATGTAACTATGGTGCACATTTGCTAAAGACCAATTTAAAAGGCAATAATTGTGCCTGTCCAATAGATATGGCTGGTTTGCACAACACACTTCCACCCTTGGTAGCTGGATTGCATGACATGGTGCCCCCACACGCATATGAGGGTTGCATATTCAAAAAGTTGTACAATGTGTGCTGCACTTATATAACCCCTGATGAGCCTAGCATATTAACTGGGTCACTATAATATAGAAGACCAGATTCTTATAATCTGCCTCAAAGTACACTACATCCCTCCATCAAGCTGTATATTGAGCACCTACGTACGTAGCAGCAGTTTAGACTCATAGTTTACTGGTCAGAACTAAGAAAGCCTAATATTCCTGCTCTGGCGTGCAAGAGGATAAGACTAAGCCCTAGCTCCACCATCAAGTAAATGAAGCCTCAAGCATCCTTTGGTATCTTGATACTCTCAGAAGTTTAAACAGCTAAATGAGGGGAAAGGTATGTAAAATCTAAACGTCTGATAGTTGATGGTCTAGTCGGGAGACAAAACTGAGACATCTAGGCTTTGGAGGATCTTGTTTTAGAATGGGGATTCCCATCCATTATCCACTAAGAAAATGCCTTTTTTGCAGTTACATTAACAAAAAAACAATGGAATATTCACAGGTAGTGCTATTATATCTCAAATACAGAGGAACTGTACTATGCTTGCAGTGTTTTGCAGGAATCCAGACTGCAGTCATGTTCTTAGTGTTGGTGTTCTGCTGTTTTGAAAAATCTGTTCAGTATCTTGTGTATGCTAAAATCTCTATGTTACTGCCAGGTAAAAGATTAAGTCGCTTACCCATCAGCATCAATACCATCTCCAGAACAGCGATGGCTACCAGTACTCATTGCTGGAGCTTGGCACGTTACACAAACAGTATATCCTACTCGTAAATACTGCGTCCATCGAGCATATGGGCGATTCTCCATTGAGCAAGAGAGAGACAATGATTCTGTTCTAAATTCCACACAATAGCTCCTTTGAGAAGGAAAAACTGTTAATGTAGCAACTTACGCATTCAGTATATCTAGAATGTAATTACAGCATAACTGTAGCATGCATTGCAGAAAGACTGCAAATACTTGCTCAATCTGTCCATTGTAAAATGAAGACCCCCCTGAGATTTACATATGTACTGGATAAGCTGAAGTAAACTAAGTGATAGTCCTTGCCTATGTTTTAACCACAAGGTTAACTCATCATATATGTTCTATCAGCTACAGCTATGTAACATTTACAGGGAGGAAACTGAGCTGTACTAGAATTTTTTTCAAACAAAATTTTTTCCTTCAAGTCAGCCATACGGAATTTGAGTTTTGATCTATGGCCTATTGAGACTGCTCCTGTGTTGTGGAACAATACAGATAGAACTGTATTTGCGTCTCAAACATAATAGTGCTGACTAACAAAATGAAGTTACAGAGTTGATTATACAGAAGCATTTTCTAGTCAGGGAAGGTGCAAAGACCCCTTTCACAGGTAGTAATAAGTTCAAAGCTTATCTCTGAAATGTATGTCTCGCAGTACATGCTACATACAATGGAAGGAACATCAGTACAGTTATGAAATCTCTAAACAGTCCACTGTATGAACAATGCATTCCACACTGACATTCTATTTCTATTATGAGAGTGATCTATTACGCTCTGTCTTCTCCCAAAGATACTGCCCTTATGAATTCCTTACTGCAGGTTGACAGTTGGAGTGTCCTCTGTGACTCTAAACAGCCTAACTACTACCATAAATAGATACAGCAAGAAGTGAAGACAGCAGGATGCACTCCAACAGAGCCAAGCGCAAGGAACCAAGGTTCAATTTGGATATGGGAAATACTTCCTGATAGTTAGGACCCCTAGGGTATGGAATGGACTTCCACAGGAGGTGGTTGAAGCCCCATCGATGAGTGTATTCAAAGATAGGATAGATATGCACATGGTAGGCATGTCATGAGCGGAGTTGGCTGGAGCCGGGGGTCAGACTAGATGGCCCAGAAGACCCCTTCTGACTCGCTCAGTTCTATGTACTCTCTCTGCCATTATGCCACTATATGAAGGACAGAAAAACAGTTCAAGTTGCTGCTATTTCAGCATTGAAATTGGTTCCTACCCTTGACAAATTTGCTGGCTACTTTAGGCTACTTTGCTGGGCTACTTTACACTTAATTCCTTCTACTGCTCTGTTGGCACAGGGGTTATAAAATCAGAATGTCTTAATGTGTTTAATTCTCTCTTTAACATATCTAAATGATATGAGGTAACTATTGGCACAGAATGCATGTAATTGCTCAAGATTCACACAAGCCTTATTTCACTTTGCTACTGATCAGTTGATTTTTTTTTTGAAAAAATAGCAATTCTACTAATTAAATGTTCTGTCCAAATAGAAAATTAAAAAATAAGGAACCTACATAACTATTATTTGAAGAACAAGAATGGAGCATGAGGCTACTTAGTATTTAATGGTCTGTTCTTTGTCAAGCTTCAATATATTGCTTTTAACAAAACAGATTTTCCTTAAACAGAATGATCCACATATATGTTAGAATACAAATTTACAACATAATCCTACATCTGTTTACTCAGGAGTAAGTCCTACTCAGTCACTCCCAGATAACTGGGTATGACATTGCAGCTGTAATTACCTAGAATCCTCTGCTTCTGAAGACCAGTTTGGATTCCTGGCCCTCTCTTTTCTCTCCTTATTATACTCAGACGTAGTTATGAAAGCAGGAACTAGGAAGAGAAAAATATATTAGAATAAACTTCATAAAGGACTAATGAAAGCAGCTGCCATTATAGCTTAACTGAGGAGTTGTAGAAAATGCAAAATAATGATGATGACGACGACAATGATACCTAAAAACTGAGAGTCAATCATTCAACTAGCAGGCATGGCCATACTAAGAAGACATAAATATCATAAGAGGCACCCCACTGGATCAGACCAAAGGCCAATTTAGTCCTACATTCTGTTTCCACAGTTGTCACCCAGATACCCATGAGAAGTCCACATGGAGGGTATGAGTACAACAGCACTCTCCAGTTGCATTATCTAGAAACTAGTATTCAGTAGTATGATGCTCCTGATACTCTGTTATTCATAATGGTAACATATAGGCATCATGAATAAGCTTTTACCAGGAAGGATTACCAAAGTAATTAGTAGGTCAACAGGTCTGGGCTCATAGTTTCCAAAGCACTGTAATATCTCTCAAATTTTGTATTTTATTGAAAAATGGTCTTTAACCATTGGAATAGTCTAGTCTGGACTCATCAAATAGATTTTTTAAAAATGTGGTTCAGTGGTAGTGCACAGGTTTTTCATTCAGAAGGTTCCAAGTACAATTTCCAGTATCTCCAAGAGGAATAAAAAAGAATCCTGCTCGAAGTCCTGGAGAGTTGTTGCCAGTTGGTGTCAGCAAAACTGAGCTAGAAGGACCAATGGTCTGACTCAAAGTAAGGCAGCTTCCTTCATTTCTATTTCTATGCATGTAAGATTTTCTTCCTGAGGGTTACACATTTCAGCTGTGCCTTATTCTTTCCGAATCAATCCTTCCTAAAACTACATGTTTATACTGTATAAATACAAAATCCAAGACTGAAAAGAGACTGCCCTAAAAGCTCTCCTAATTTTTATGTGATGAAAACACAGAAAGTGCAGTCACATAACAAGAGTTACAAAAGTGCATCACAGCCTATTCCACTGAGAACTGTACAGAACAACTCTAGCGCTGTGTTCCTATGGTGGTGCCATACCGGAACAGTAACATGAGTTGGCACTACTATGAAATACCATCTGCAGATGCAATGAAATAATATGCTTTCCTGAAAAAAACTGGTCCACTACAAAACTACGCTGATGCCATTTTGTAAAACATGGTTTCCAAGTTGGGAGATTGAACACATGTGCCATCCCTACTCTCCTTTCTTTATCTATTTTCCCTTCCTTTCCTGCCATTGTGTGAGTTTTTGTTATATATGCACTAATGCAAAATGCAGTTTGTACTAATGGTAATCAGCTGTGGCCCCCTCCAGATGTTTATTGCCTACAACCACCATCATCCCTTACCATTGGCTAAGTCAGCTTTCCCCAGCCTGGTGACTTACAGAGGCATTTGGACCACAACTCCCAGAATGCCCATTCAGAAGGGCTATTGAATGGGCATTCTGGGGGTTGGAGTCCAAATATGTCCAGAAGGCACAAGGTTGGGAAAGGCAGGGCTAAGCTGTCTAGGGCTAATGGTAGCTTTAGGCCAAAACATCTAGAAAGCCACAAGTTGCCCACTCCTGGTTTACACAAAGCATGCCTTAATAGTACTAAAATACATTATAGTAGGACAATTCTTTCCTACTGACTTTGTTCAAGTGTTTAAGCCACTGTCTGTGACATTTCAGCAACATATACATAATTAACTATAGCTATTGTCATGGTTACCTTTAGAGGATGGAGACACACATATGTCTGTATTAAGCAGCTTGCAAACACATGAGAAATACAGCTCATGTCATTTCCCAACACTGCTTTTGGAATTGTGTGTTACTTGGATCTTTCTGGGGAAATGAGTATCACCATCCCAAATTCGCAGCTGCATGCATCTCAAGATACAAACATGAGCACCCATGTCTTTACATTTTTTTTAAAGTAACAAAAATAAACTGAAGGCAATTTGTAAGTGCACAAGTCCCTTGTTATTTTAAGTCTTTCGGCGCCATATACCAGATTAATTCATTCTTGTAACAGATAACTGGTGTTGGTTCATTGAGAATTATGGTGACACTCTGACCTGATCTTTTTTTACTCTGGAATAACTGATCACACAGAGTTAACAGTGCTGAAATATAACAACCAGATTTTTATTACAGCTAATAATGAATGGATGGTTTAAAACCCAAATGTACCATACTCATCTCCACAATTCTTCCTTTCATAAGTATTATACTCAAGGCAGCCAGCTTTTTCTTCCAATGGAGGACACGGCTCCCCACCATTTTTTGGTTCTTGCTGTATGACACGTGTACGCACACGGAAGTTAGGTTTACACTGTTCTGCACAGCCACTCCACTGACTCCACTCCTCAACTATGCATGGAGAAGCTGCAAAGAAATATAAGAATACTGTCAATTATGAAATTGATTGGAGTTATAAACCCCTATGTCAAATTGTACTTGCAATAATTCTTATTTATTTATTCATTAGGCTTTTATCCTACCCATTAGCCCTAAGCCTCCTTGGGCAGGTGTGTAAGGTTCCTGCCACTGGCAAGAAAGCACAGATAAACCACATGGGAAAAACTGACTACACTTTATTAAATATATTTATATTCCATGTTTTTCCTTTAAGGAACCCAAGGTGGCTTTCATAATGTTTTATCATCTAAACAACCCTGTTAAGTAGGTTAGGTGAGAGTCGTATTTACCCAGAGCCACTCAGTTATCTTCATGGCCAAGTGGTGTCTAGAACTCACATTTCCCAACTCCCAGAGAAGAATTCAACGCTAGGCTTCCATTCTCACATCTGACAAAGCATCCAGTTCTTTCTTATAGGGATCCCAGTTCCACTGATCCCAATGAAAATACCTTCCAATGTAATCAACACTTTCAAGAATTATTCTAATATCAGTGTCTTATTCTGCCCTTCCTCTCACTTTCTCTTCCCATTGAAATAAAAAGTTATAAGTAGTATAGTTGGAACCAGAACTTATCCTTTTAGAGGTTATTTAAAAGCGGATTCAACAAGTAGTTCCCTCTGCTAAGGTGCATATCAACCCTTACCAGGCAGGTGTGTGAAAAGGACCCTACATGTATAAACAGTTGCAATTCCCCCACATGCCCTTTCAGCACATGAGACATTCAAGCAAACTCTCATGTAAGCTGATGTTATTGTATACATATAGTAATAGACTCATTTTATATACACAGTTCTGCAACTCTTCTTTTTTCAGCTTTCCCTTTCAAGCACACATAGTTCATGAACTAGATTCTCCATTCAGTTTGCGTCTTGCCTCTGTGACATACTCCTTCTCTAAGATTAGGGCAGTGGTTATCACACTCATCACATTCTACAAAACTTTGCTCAGTTCTACGGGTTAAGTCTACAAATATGGAAATATGAGTTATATGTCTTGATTTGTAGAACAAAAACAAAATTTTTGATTTTCTGCAAAGATCCCCAACTGCTTTTAAGTGTACAATGGGAAAAAACCAGTTTGATAGCCATAATGTTAAGGGATTGAGTTAATTAAGCTGCAATGCCCCACAGGGACATTGTACCACTGTATTTACATAGTAACCAGTATATGCTGGGTACTATGGTCAAAATCCAAGAAGAACAAAGTGAAGTTATTTTTTAAACCATCGGCTTGCACGTCCCTCAATGCCCCAACTCATACTTGAAAGACTCTCCCCTCGTCTCATCCCAAAAATAACCTAGCATAATTTATAATCTTATAAGAAACAGGCTTCCCAAAAACATTTAATGGCCAGTTAATTACAATGTATGACAGTAAGGAAGAAACATTTGTTGATTCTCCTCCACAACTGCTCCCCCTACCCAGAATTTCCCTTCTCCATCCATTGCTTGCAAGCTTATTTCACTTCTCACAGATGAATGGCTGGCAATGAGTAAAAGGGGCTAGAAGGGAAGTTTGAGGAATTGGTGAATGGGATGACAACTCCTCTCCCACTAAGGAGTCTCACCTGCAAGTGTCTGTGCAAAAGCATTATAAACTCAGAACTGAGAGCACTACAGGAATGTATAGTTTCAGCATAAGATGAAGGTTCGATGCTGGTGTGAAATGTTTCCTGCTGAAGTGATTCCATGAGCACATGAAAATTGATTTAAAGAGGCCAGATAATCATCAAGTCCAGCTCTACACCCTGAGGCAGGATCCTTGCAACCACAGTTCCCTCCATGTTCCAGATTAATCCACATAATCCATTCCACAATGCATCAAACAGAGCAGAAAGCAACCCAGTGCATCAGTCCAAGATGCCTACAGAGCAGACAGTTCAAAATGATTCCAGCAAATAAATTAAGCTTACACACCAAAGTCATGATTCATGAATATTATTTTAAATAGACGTGTTCTTTTATTTTTCCTTTGAGCTGTGCGCGCTCTAGGGTTCACCATTGACAGACATCCTCCTACACCTGCACCATGCTCACCAGCTGGGCAAAAAGATTCAAAAGAAGAATCAATCTTTATGCAGCCTTTTAAAAAATATTCCACGGGAAGGTCCCACACTGGGAGGCTATGGGTCCTTTGGCTTTCAGAACCGGAGTTCAGCTGCTATACTAAAAAAATCACTTTTAAATATATAGAAGTCAGTGTATGCACCTAGAAAGATTTCTGGCATTCACTGAAAAATATATTGTTCACATTATGGGAATAGGCAGTCAGACTAGGTCCCTTAGGTTATGTAATAGCCTTCCATTTTTTATATATTAATTACCTTTAAATACACCCCACCCCCCAAATTTAAGCACTGTATACCAAAAACTTCTACTTTATTCAGTGTCAGCAATACTTTTAAGAAAAGGAAACTTTATGCAGGGTGTTTTTGATAACATCAGTCCAGCGAAGTCCACTGTGCTTTTATTACAGTCCTCAGTTCAATATGGAAAGGAATTCAATATTCCCATCCCTTGAGGTGAAAAGTACATTACAAATGAATACCCGCTGACGTTTCCTAAGTCACTTCCGTGCATTTTTGTCCCTCACTTGACTTTCCTATTTCAAAGAAAAGCAGAAGAAAAAGTGGCAAGTGATGCCAACTGCGAGGATTGTAAAGGGAACCTGCGTCTTGGCGGCAGGTCGGGCAGTCAAGGAGCGAGTAGGTAATAATGGAGCCATCCTAGTCCTGCCTTCTCAAAAGTAGGACTCATGCAGATAGGACTGCAATCTAGGGATCTGTTTGGGGTTTAAACTAAATTGCGCCCCACCAGGCTTTAGATACAGGCACCGCTTGTTCTACCCACCCCGATCCCACGGCCATGCTCGGTTTGGGATTGCAAGATACCGGGAAAGCGGCGGCTCCGCGAGCAGGAGCAGAGTGATGGTCTGCCTCTCCCCCACCCCGCCGGCTCCAGTCCCCGCCAGGCAGGCCGCGCTCTACTGGGCTGGGGAGCCAGACCCGGACCTTCTCCCGCGACTCTTCTGCGCCGGCGGCCACGACGCGCCTTCCCGGCTCCGTCCTACCTGGGCACGCCTGGGCGTAGTCATAGCAACAGTCGCCGGTCCGCCTGCACGCCTCGTCGCAGAAGCAGGTGCCGTAGGCTCGGTCGGCGCGCCAGCCCGTGCTGGCGCAGGTCGGGTCGCGCCCAGGGCAGCAGCGCCCCTCTTCCACGCAGCCCGACCCGGCCCGGCGCCCGAGCGCCAGGAGCGCGACCACCAGAGCCACGGGCCCCGGCCCGGCCCGGCCGGCGCCCATCCCCGCGCCTCGCAGAAAGTACAGCAGCAAGTAAGCCAGAAGCTCCGCGCCTGATGCCGGCGTCTCCTTGGGCGGGCGGGCGGGCGGCCGCCCACTGGCCACGCCTCGCCTGCGCCCCGCCGCTACCCCCGCCGCGATCAGCCGCCCCAGTCCTTGGGGGAGCGCCCGCTGGGCTCTGTGCGGGCTGCGGGCGAGGGAGGGAGGCGGCTTTGAACCGCAGCCTGCCGTGCACGGAGGTGGCTCGGATGAAAAGCTGCACGGGGGCGAGACGCGGCCGAAGCCACGCCGAAGGGTCGCAACCTGCCGCGGCCGCTCCCTGCTCAAGGGGCGGAATTCGGCGCCGCCGAGCGCCTCGCTCGCCCAAGGCGGGGCGGAGACAGGCGAGGGATGCGCTGTCGCCCGCTCATCCGCTCCGGGCAGGGCCAGGAATGCGCGCGGCTGGCACTGGACCAGCGAGGGAGAGCCTGGGCAGCCCTTTCGCCGCCTCGCCCCGGCCCCGGCCCCGCCGCTCCCCTGCTTTCTATGGAGAACCGCCTGCGCTCCCCGAGACGGAGCGCAAACGATCCCCGGCTCTTCCAACGCTTCTCCTTGTGCAGCGGTGGGCGGGCAGCAGGTGACAGCCGCCTCTCGACGCTAAGTTTGACTCTGAAAGACAGTGACCCTGAGCAAGTGCGGAGTCCATCACACTCGAGAAATAGTAGGTGGAGATGGATGGAGGCGAGAGAGTAATATTTCCAAACAGGCTTAAGCCCCTCGTATCCCTTTCTCTAGAAATTAGGCCCTGGCTTTGAAGTATTCAGAGAGCTGTTAATTATGTAATTCGTAAAAGTAGGTCATGTATTTGTTTATCGAAACATACGGTAATATTTATGTATTCATTATTTTCTCCAATAAGTTTAACATCAATGTGCATAGCAGCTTCCTTGGTCCTCTAAGTCTTCTACGGCAAAAGCGTCAAACAAATTGGTGGGATGTGAAAAATGCATTGCTGCATAACACATCTATTATGCATCTGGCAGAGTGAACCATAATCCACAAAAGCTTATGCCAAACACAGATATCGTCATGAAGGACTCACGTGGCTCTCCATTGGTTCTCCTGTACTGCAGGTTAGGCTGAGAGGCAGTCACTGTCCAGTTTTGCAGAGCTGGGCAGACTGCAGGTTTGCATGACCTACTTGAAAGGGGCAAAAAAATCAGAATTTGCTACATTTACAAACAGGAACACATACTCAGGAATTTTTTTTACAGTTCTTCTAAGAAATCATTCTTAAATTTTTGAAGGACTAAAACAGAACAAAGGAAGATTGCTAATTTACTAACAACAGCACAGAGTGGGCAGTTGCTTTATGTTTTTAATTCTGCTTCTGGGTAAGGACATACATCTATCTGTATTTCTACCCTATGGGTCAAAAAACAGAAAGTAGAGCAGGAGATTGTTTCTACCACATATGACCACCTACATGCCATCTAAAATTCTTAGGATAACTTCAGGTTGTTCAACCCACAAATAACCTACAGTTCAGATTAGCACATTACACAGCTACCTCCAATCAGGACAATCAAAGCTTGATTCTGCAAAACAGCAATGGCTTATAGGTAGTACACAACTTGAAAATTCTAAATTGATTGATTAACCAGGATTTGCCACTGTTGTGTGTTAAACAGGACTTTAGTGTTATTTAAAAAAAAAAAAAAACCTTTACCAATACTCAAGCCACAAGAAATAAAAATGTAAACTTGTGATATTTTCATTAGTTATTTCATAATGAAATCTACCTTACCTCTTAAATCATATAGCTATATAAATAATGCTATCAACTTGACATTATTAAAAATACTATATATTAAATGCACATGTCAAACATAATAAGTCAAATTTTGCTTACTACATGCCAAGTTTAGTTGATTGGGCAAAAATAATGGACAAGATGGTGATCCTGGCTCATTAGGAGCTAAAATTCCCATATCTATGTTTAGTACAATGGCAGTTTTAAAATATTATTACAGAGAGTAATTTCCCCTTTTCATTGTTTCCCTGTGTCATAGCTTGCCTTCCAGGTGAAAACACTAACAATGTTTATAAGTACACATTAGAATTATTTAAGTAAGTAGAACTTTTGGAAGGCTTTTATATTGTGTGCCTAAGGTAATATTTAAGTTAATGTTGAAAGATGTGATTTAATTCAAAATAGGCCTTGAAGAAAAGAAAATTACAGCTAAGAGAAGAGCTGGGAAGTCTTCTAGAAACAAAAGAACAGGACTGAAATGTATATGATTCTCTTGAAAGCTTTATCTTTCTTTAACTTGTAAAGTAATCCATTAAGAAAAATCTGGGGCAAAAATAATTGTTAAGTTTAAGGGATGATCAAATCTATTAGAGCAAGTAATGTCTTGCCATATTAAAAAGGATGGCTATTTTTTCAATGGAAACATGAAAGGATTCATATAGATGCATTTACCTAATAAATAGAAGTACAAGCCTATACTCTAAAGTAAGTCTCATTAAGCAGGGCTTACTGCAGCTAAAGGGCATTATCCTAGGAAGATCTACTATTTGGCTTATTCTTTTCTGCTTGCTGCTGTTATGTGCCTTCAAGTAATCTCTGACTTAAGGAAACTCCATGAATGAAAGCTGTACAGTAAGTTCTGCTCTTTTAAGTTCAGTGTTGAAGCTACCTTTATGGATCCAATCCATCTCATAACTGGCCTTACTTTTCAGCTTTCCCTAGCATGATTGTCTTCTCAAGTAAGTCTTGCCTTCTCATGATGTGTCCTATGTACATCAGCCTCAGTTTTGTCATTTTTGCTTCTAGGAACAGCTCGGGCTTCATTAGATCCACTTGCTTATCATTCTGTTAGTCCATGCTATTTGCAAAGCTGTCCTCCAGCACAATGTTTTGACTGCAACACTTTTCTTCTTGTCAGCTTTCACACTTATACATAGTAATAGGTGTACAATAGTATGGATGATCTTGGCCTTGTTCTCCAATGAAAAGTCCTTATGTTTCTTTTCGTGTTCCTTCATATAATCTCTTCCAAGCCTCAGTCTTCTTCAAATTTCTTGGCTGCCGTCTCCCTTTGATGACTGAGCGGACATATTTAAAATCTTTCACAATTTTGTTTGCTTCATTGTCAACACTGAAGTCCTATAATTCTGTGGTCATGATCTTTGTTTTCTTAATGTTCTGTTGTAGTCTTGTTTTTGTACTTCTTTCACTTTCGTCAGGAGTCATTTCAACTCATAGATGCTTTCTGCCAGCAGTATAGTATCATATGCAAATCTTAAATTAGTGATGTTTCTTCTGCCAGTTTTCACCCCTTCCTCAGATTCTAATCCAGCTCTCCTTATGATATGTTCTGCATACAGTTCGAACAAATAGGGAGATAAAATACATCCTTGTCTGACACCTTTGCCTATGAGAAGCCATTCTGTTGCTCCAGATTTTTCCTTAACAGTAGCTTCTTGTCCATGATACAGGATTGGGAAGATATTCTGTATTAATAGTGAATTCTATCTAATGTGATGCCATCTATGCACCAAAAGGCCATATCATGAACTGTCTCTGGTGGGAATGTCAAGATTAGCAGAACTACAAAAGATCTGTCAGGGGAAATCCCCAAGGGGGTGCTCAAGGACATTCCAATAAGGACAGAGTTTTTCAGTGGCTACAGAAAACTGAGCATCATCTACTGGAGAACAGTGGGAGGCAGAGGGAATGGAACACTGCAGGAAAAGAAAGGACATGGTTCAGCTCAGAATCTACATGTTTATCTACAAACTAAACAGCCAGTATTGCCAATTTTGATAGTCTACTTCCTACCGATTTGGAGGGAAGGGAAGATAGATTCATTGCCTGCATGCATACACACATTTGAATAAGATATTGTCATATATATGCAGACTGAGACCTCTAAACACTAGATTCACAATGCTAAAAAATGCACATATACAGTTGTATCTACATAGACTTTATGTAGACATGACGGTGATCATACATCATGGAGATAGCAAATGATCTTACTATCTCCCTACCCCATCTGGCTCCATGAGTTAATCATACTAATATGTGCTAGAATATAAAATCATTTTTTTAAAGTTAGCTTCTGGTTTTTATATGCCAATTAACAGCATGCATGCAAATATCAGAAGAGATGTTCTTAAGTGTTCCAGTTAAGGTGGTCTAGCAGCTTGAGCTGTGTGTTGCAATTCAGTCCCTGTATCAATAAATAATTGTTCTAAATAATGTAGCAGGTGGATATGACTGAAAAATATCTTTACAACCTGCTTCTTAGATGCAAATGCTGAACATAAAGCTGAGTTAGATCTAGTTTCTTCACCTGTGCAATTGTGCAATTTAATTGCCCTGTGTTTTCCTAACTAGAGGGTGAATTAGCATGTACTAGTAATATATAGAATACAACTAAAACCATCCAGATCACTTGAACTTAGGCATTTAGATGAATAGAAGTATTGATCTATAGCAAGAAGAGAGGCATAATGGTAGAGTTTGCACAACATGATAACTCATCCTGTGAACAAGTTACAATCAGTGTATGCCTCTGAGATTATCAGTCTCACTGTGGGTTCTCCCTCCCTCCTTCAACCTCAGTCCTCCAGGAGAGTCCCAGGAGACTTGGCAGCTGAAACTACCTTGTCTTCTCTACCCTCCACAATCATGAGCTGCAGAGGAAGGATTAACCTCTCTCTCTCTCTCTCTCATATATTGCTTTTTGCAATATTTTAAGTGACAGCCACTGACAAACCCTACAAGGTACCTTGGAGGGGCAATCAGTTGTTGCCTCCTTTATTTAACCTAACATAATTCAATGTGTACAATATTTTTCATAAATTAAAACCGTGCCAGTTTTCCAAGGTTGAATAACATCATACCTTTGAATAACCAAAATAGGAAGATTTGCCTGACCAACGTCCTAGTAAGTGCTTGCTGTCAAGGTACAGCAAGGTGTAAACTACAGATTTTGCCCAAGAGAGCCTGC